TTGAAAATTATATATAGAGAGAAGTAGAGACAGAGAGAAAGGTCTTCTATCCACTGGTTCACTCTCCAATTAGTCACAATGGCCAGAGCTGCATCGATCCAAAACCAGGAGCCAGGAGATTCTTCCGGGTCTCCCACATGGGTACAGGGACCCAAGGACTTGGGCCATCTTCCAGTGCTTTCCCAGGCCATAGCAGGGAGCTGGATCAGAAGCGGAGTTGCCAGGACTCGAACCAACACCCATATGGGCGGCTCTACCTGCTATGCCTCAGCACCTGCCCAACAATGCAAATTTTTTATGAAATGCTGAAGCACCCTCTTAGTAAACACACCCACACACCCACACATGATACAGAACAAACATCATACATATTTAATATATAGAATTAAGAATATATGGAGAGAGAGAGAGAGAGAGAGAATGTATTAGACTAAACTGGCTTATGAAATGTAGAGGCTGGCAAATCTGGAATCTTTGGGTTGGACCAGCAGGCTGGAGTAGAGGCTGCCATCTTGAGACAGAATGTCTTCTTCTCAGGGAAACCACCAATGTTGCTGTTACTGCCTTCAGCAGGCTGGATGAGGCCACCACACCGGGAGGGTCATCCCCTTGCCTAACAGCAGCACGTTATAGATGTTAACCAGAGCTACAGAGACACCCTCACAGATGCCTAGACTCGTGTTTCATTTAGTCCTTGGCACCATGGCTCAAAGTGGCTCATAAATTTGCCATCCCTGCCTCCTGCAGTCCATGCTCAGTGCAGGAGATGGACTGGTCTTGCCACCCTCACAGTAGGAGCCGCCGTCTGGTTGCTGGGCATCGCTCTCTCGCTTGTTCCTCTGCCACCATCTCCCCAACACAGCTGGGCTTCAGACTCACCACCTCCTTCTTATGAGGGTCTCTCCACCCACTCTGCCTCGCCTGGAATGCCTCCACCAGACACTCCGCGACTTCCCTCTCTTCCTTTGCGTCTGCTCTAACATCATGTTACAAAGAACTTCTCTCATGACTCAGGATCAGATGGCAACGTCCTCCATCTCCCACCCGCTTTTCCCACTCCCTCCACTTTACTCTCACAGCACTACTCAACATGTTGCATATGTACAGATATACCTGGCTGCCTGTCCCTCCCCACTACAATGCAATCTCCATCTCCCTTACCTATAATAAGTTCATCCCATATTAAATCCTCAACAAATATTTCTTTAAAAAAACAAATTTGAAGTAATGCCCACAGGTGTTAGCTAAGCATGGTGAAATAGGATCTCTTACACGAAGCCCTGCTCCTCGGGGCTCAGCCTGCCAAGCGTGATCAACTTCTTTCTCTCCATGGGCTCTCCTTGGGCAATTTACTCCTCTCATGATTCCATGAGATCCCGCCCCCTGCTGGTGACGCTCAGATCTCCTTTCTCACAGCACCCAGGTCACCTACCCAACTCTGCTCACATCTCCAAGTAAATAGAATTCCCAGAGACTTTAGGATTCTGTTTGTCCCTAATGGGATGATCCTGCCCCCACCCCGCAAACCCGCCCTCCTCTAGCGTTCCTTATCTAAGTGCAGTCGCACAGGCCACACACCTGCTGGGCATCTGAACCCACTGCAGGCCTTGCCTTCCTCCAGTGCCTTTCGCAATGATGCACACTTCATTGTCCTAATCCCCTCTAATCTGTTAACACTGTCAGTACCCATACATATACTCACACTCTCAAAAACACCCCATCACCATGACCACCACCTCCACCTACGCCACCACTTCAACAATCCTCACGTCCATCATCACCTCCACGTGACCACCATCACTTCTATGTCACCAAAACCTCTGCCATTCCCACCACACTATCATCACCGTCACTTCCACCTCCACAGCCACCCAGCGACCATTACCATCGCTTTCACCTCCCTCACCACCATCACCACCATCACCACCATCATCACCTCCACCAGTACCATATCACTTCCATCTCCACCATAACTTCTACTCTCACCACCGCCAACAGCAGCATTGCCACTATCATGCTCATCACCATCTTTGCCAACACCATCACCAGTTCTACCATAACCTCCACCAGCACCACCATCTCTACCATCACCACCGGTACCACTCCCAACATTATCCTCACCACCACTGTCACCTTTACTACCATCACCTCCATCACCAGCATCACCTCCACCATAGTGCCCTCAGTGCCACCACTTCCACCATCTCTACCACAACCACTGACCACCACCATCACCATTTCACAAGCCAGTGAACATGTGCTTGTCTTTACCTTGAACAGCTTCCTCTGCCGAGAAACACCATTCCAGTCCATTCTCATCCTCTAGGACTCTAAGGTCCTGCAGCCTTTCTGACATTCTCCCACCAAGGACAGGGCTGACAAGTTCTGAGTTTACCTTTGTACTTTCCATATACCTAGACAGCATTCATTGTTTAATAAAGTACTGAGAATAGTAACTGGAGAATTCAATAGATGGATACAAATACAGTGCTTAGAATAGTGTCTAGTTTATGATATCTGCTTAATAAGTGTCATAAAGCAACATCATTAGAAGGCAATGTGTAGGAAAATTGCCAACATCTATGGATCAGTTATCAATATTAAATATGCATTATGATTTTTTTTACCTTTTTTTTTTGATAGGCAGAGTGGACAGTGAGAGAGAGAGACAGAGAGAAAGGTCTTCCTTTGCCGTTGGTTCACCCTCCAATGGCCACCGTGGCCGGCGTGCTGTGGCCGGCGCACCACGCTGATCCGATGGCAGGAGCCAGGTGCTTCTCCCATGGGATGCAGGGCCCAAGCACTTGAGCCATCCTCCACTGTACGCCCTGGCCACAGCAGAGAGCTGGCCTGGAAGAGGGGCAACCAGGACAGAATCCGGCGCCCCGACCGGAACTAGAACCCGGTGTGCCAGCGCCACAGGTGGAGGATTAGCCTATTGAGCCACGGCACTGGCCTAAATATGCATTATGATTTTGTAATATTTGCTTCAAATTTTTCTTTTTAAAGGAAAAATTAAATAGTATATCATGAAAATATTTAACTCAGTCCTCTCTCATCTCTTCTCCCTCTTCTTTTTAATTTTTTAAAAAAATGTTTGTTTATTTGAAAGGGTTGCAGAGAAAAAGGGAGACACAAAAAGAGAAGAAGGGAGATTGTCCATCTGCTGGCTCAGCTCCCAGTTGGCCACAACCACAGAGCTGGGCCAGGCCCACGCCAGGAGCCAGGAGCTTCATTCAGGTCTCCCACATGGGCGCAGGGGCCCAAGCACTTGGGTCATTTTCTATTGCATTTCCAGACCACTGACAGGGATCTGGATCAGATGTGGAACCTCTGGGACACAAACCAGCACCCATGGAGGATGCCAGTGCTGCAGGCAGTGCTAACCCCACTATGCCACAACGCCGGCACCTCTCTAATATAGTTCACCAACATCCTAGAATTAGTGAGTCTTAGCCAACACATGCTTACTCACATGCATTGTTTAGTTTTCTGTTGAATGATACTAATCAGTATGAATCCCTTTGAAACTTGCCTTCATTTCATGCGACATTATGGCTTTGAAGTCTAGCCCACGTTGCCTGTGTAGCCATGTGTCTTTTAACGACTGTGTAGTGTTCCAGTGAGACTTAACCACCAGGACCATCACTGCCTACTCAGGAGCCATCACGCTCTTTCCATTGTCATGCCACAGATATATAGTCAGCATCAATAGGTATTCAGGTATTCGGGTAGATGGACAGATGATAGGTAAGTAGAAAACCAGCAACACAGAGGACGCGGGAAGAGAGAGACAGAGGCAGTGACAGAGACAGAGAAAGAGAGAGAATCTCCATGCACACATGTCCATGAGTGTTTTCAGGGTAAGTGTTTACAGATCGGGCTTGACTGAGTTAGATTGTAGCAGCAAATTAACCCGAATAGCCACAGACCTGACATAAGCAAGCTTATCTGTCACTCATTTTGTTTGCCCACAGCGCTGGACTCTGTTCAAGGACCCAGGGTTTGCAGAAGCTCCAACGTCTCTGTAGCCATCGCCTGGGACAGAAAACTTCCGCAGCTTCCACAACAAGCAAGCGTCTTCAGGGCCACGGTTCTGATCGACAGAGCCCTTTTTCTCACTTCTCTCCTTGCATGGAACGCACTCTTCTTGGGAAGCGAGGTGGCATCCAACCCTGCCCCCTGCTCACAATCCAGGATCGCGTCGACACACTTACAAACGAGGTTTGGGGCAGGAAGGGGAAATAGGTCGCACTCACGGCATTCCTTCATTCATGGCATTTCCCGTCCTGTGGAGAAGACACAGCAGGCCCTAAGCTCTGCTTCTGCATTCTGGACAGAGCTCCTGGTCCATTGTCCTTGTCCCTCCTGGCCCTCGTTTCTGCTCCCTTGGGACACACACACACACACACACACACACAGTGGCTTTGAGGATGCACACGGTTTTCTCAGCTTCCTCCTGTTCCTCTTCATGGAACGTCAAGAGACCAAGTGTTGTTTTAGGTTTTGAGCTTTCTAACCCAAGGTTCCTGATTTCCTGGTCAGCAAAACCCCCACAAAAACTCAATACTTCCTAACATTATTTGCTTCCAGTCAGTTCCATGTGATCTTCAGAATAGGCCTATGTATGATGGTCCAGAGGAATCAAACTCGCACTTACTCTAGACTCTTAGACTGGCAAAGTAGGGAAAAAATAAGCCCAAGTCACAAGGCTGTCACGTGGACCAGAATCAGCGGAGACATGGGCAGGCAAAGCAGCCCAGAACAGCTGACCAGTCTCATCTCATCCAGGGGCTACTAAGCACAGCACCACTAAAGTATATCAATGCATATGCAAAGTGTGCTGGTGAATAAGCAGATTGACCTGTGTGTCTATGTACTGAATTGTTTGGTCTCATCAGTCAAAAAATATTTTCCCCAGTGGCAAGTTATTAAGTGAAAGCAGAAAATATTCAAGAACTGTATTTCCGTGACTATGTATGCAAAAGTGAAACAAAGTGTGTGGACACATATTTATTGTAATACCTTGCACAGAACACACAAACCATATTAACTTATTGAGCAGTCAGGGCTGACAACGTGAGACGCATCTTCCACCCATGTACGCGTCGGCGAATACCCACACTATGTGTGTGGCAGCTGTGAGTCTCCATAACTTGCTTTTCCCATCGCTTGAGAGAGATTTTCTGTTTCTTCTAATTTTATGAATCCCTTAATGAATTCCCAAAGGCCCCTTAAAATACATAGCAAATGAAAACAATAGATTAGAAAAATACACTAAGCAAAAAAAAAGAAAATTTCAAAATTAACATCTATTCCAGGTCACATTTGCTCAAAAGCAGACAAGATGGGACTTTGAAATATACGTTTGCTTTAATGAACATTTTCAGTGGAGTTGTTGTCTCAAATGCATCACAGATTTGCTGAACAGTTAGGTGCCTTTCGCTGTGGCATCTTCAGACTAAGAGTAAGTGTGACCACAGGGGCCCATTATGGAGACGGGGGTGTGTAAAGGTCGAATTGGGCACTGTTTACATTCTGGCTGTGAAAGGAGCTTTTCAAACCTGTTAGGTGCAGCTCTGTTGTTTCTATCATTATTATTATTATTATTGTTATTATTATCTGGATATAAAGAACCACTAACCAGGATCCACCTGCATAGCTCTCTCAACACCTTCCTAATGCTTTTTTCCCCTGGCTTTCTCTAGCACACAGGCTAGTGAGTGGAATGCTCTGTTTTCCGGCCTCCCTCACAGCTAAGGGTGGCACTGGGACAGAGCGCTGGCCAGTGACACAGGGTGATATTCCCTGAAAGGGTCTTCCTTCCCAAATAAGACAGACAGTCCTCAAGGGCAGAAGCTCTCGGCCACCCACCCCCGTGTCTCCCCTGGTGGAGTGTGGACCTGACCCCTGAGACAGCCATACTGAACTCACAGGAGGACAGGAAAACAGAAGAACCCTGGCTCCCAGATGCGATCACTGGGCCTAAGTGGTCACACCCAGTGACCTTCTGTGTGCTCTGTGCCTCCCAAACAAACCAAATCCCGAGAGCGGAGCGGCAGCAGCAACTCCAGGAACAGTAATCCTGCAGAATAGGAACTGCGCAGCAGTCGATGCGAACCAACTACTCACTTTCTAAATTTAAAAATTCAGAGTAGTATATGTACAACGTTTCTTTAAACATTTATCGCCGGGGCCAGTGCTATGGAGCATCGGGTTAAAGCCCTGGCCCACAGCACTGGCATCCCATACGGGCGCCGGTTTGACTCCCGGCTGCTCCACTTCCAATCCAGCTCTCTGCTGTGGCCTGGGAGTGCAGTGGAGGATGGCCAAGTGCTTGGGCCCTGCACCCGCATGGGAGACCCGGAAGACGCTGTTGCAGCCATGTGGGGGAGTGAACTAGCAGATGGAAGACTTTTCTCTCGCTCTCTCTCTCTCTCTCTGGCTCTACCTCTCTCTATAACTCTGTCTATCAAATACATAAAAATAAATATTTTTAAAAAGTTTTATCATAATTAAAGTCATATTACTTAAGAAAGGAAAGCTGGGTTGGTGCTATGGCATAGCAAATTAAGCTGCTGCCTTCAGTACCGGAATCCCGTGTGGGCACCTGTTCAAGTCCCGGCTGCTCCACTTCTGATCCAGCCAGCTCTCTGCTGTGGCCTGGGAAAGCAGTGGAAGATGGCCCAAGTCCTTGGGCCCTGCACCTGCGTGGGAGACCCGGAGGGAGCTCCAGGCACTTGGCTTTGTATTGGCCAGCTCCACCCATTGCAGCCATCCAGGGAGTGAACCAGCAGATGGAAGAACTCTTCCTCCGCCCCCACCCCCGCCCTGTGTGTGTGTGTGTGTGTCTGCCTCTTTGCAATTCTGCCTTTCAAATAAATAAATGAATCTTTTAAAAAAAAAAAAAAAAGAAAGAAAGAAAAGAAATCTACCCACAGCCATGTATCTCCCCATTTTCTTGATTTCTGCTTGTGAGAATTCACCCATAACTCAACTTTTTCTAATGAATATCAGTAAATGATACGTGCAGACTGAGTTTTAAATCTTAGGATGGGCATTCTTGAGCACAATGAAAGGATATGAAAGGATGTAAATACTCCTGGGTGTGAACATCTCGAATAGTCTAATGCAGCTTTGACTCAGCCAGTCGGAGACTCGCAGGACACTGTTCTACCTCTTATCAAGACGCCAGTACTCACTGCTGATCCTCCTCACTGATCTTGTTCCTTCTCATGCTGTGCCTCACGTGGTTTTCAATAATCTGCCAAGAATTAAAAATCAACTCACCATGTGTAATTAATTCCTTGATAGTGATCATGTAATACAATGTCAATAATACTGAATGTAAATACAGTACCACTTCTAGCATCAGGTATAACATTAATTCATACTATATATAACAGAGAGATTATCATTAGCTGCTTCGACGTGTAATAGAAACAGAACCAAAACATGTTAACCAACAAATTATTAACGTGCAGTTAGGAGGGGCACTTTGAAAGTCGTCAGAGAACCCTGTTCATTATACTCCTTGTCACCCAATCAGCTCATTACATGGAGTGACAATGCATGGAAGGGTTAGAGAAATGGCCAGCAATGGGTAGCACACCCAGCAATTAAAACTGAATGTACAATTTCTTCATAAATGCATTAGCCTTAACTTCTCCAGCTTTAAACTAATGTCTGATAGCAGATATGCCTGGTATTACAGAAAATTATCATTTAAGAAAAGAATGCATATTTTCTTCCTTGATTTATGACACAGACAAGCAAGTCCTTGAAGATATGTTTAAATTGATAAATACTGATTCAACAAAAACACTTACTTTTATTTTCTTCTCTAAAATTTTATTTGATGTTTCCAACTTCAAAGCTTCATTCTATAGGAAAAGAGGTTTTAAAAGCAAGATACTTGAGTAAGAGTATATGTTAATCATATTCATCTATGGAACAAAAAGCATTGTATGAATATACAATGGCATAAAATTTAAGGACAGATGGATACATAAAGAATAAAATGAAGGCGAAATTATAAAGAAAGGGGCCTGACTCCCTGGATCAAATAATGGAAGAGGTAGATGCTGATGCTTCAAAACACCAGAAAATTTTAGCGAAATTACCAAGTAGAAGTATTTCTCACTTTCCAACCTAATAACAGAATTTGTTAAGATGGCTGGAAACAATATATAAATGCAAATACTCGCATGCATCCCTTCATTGCTTTTTTGATGTGTTACACTTGTGTTGGATTTTATTGATTGAATCAACCTTACATTGAATAAGCCTGTTGACATCATTTTTCCCAGCCATCATGACTGTTAGTATTTTTTAGCAGTAAATATTTTTGATAGAAGTGTATACATCTTGTTTTAAACATATTGCTGTTGCCTCTACAATAGACCGCAGTGTGGTGTAAACGTCACTTTTCTATGCTCTGGGAAGATAGAACCTTCATGTGACCCCTGCATTGCAATGTCCTCATTATTGTGGAAGTCTGGTACTGAACACACACTGTGTCTGATCTTTAATTCACTTTTATATATACCAGCAACAATTGATCGTTAACTGTAAAATAAGTCTTCAACTTCCACTCATCAGAGCAACAGATCCCATAAAGCCATAAAAATAAGCACATAAAAATGACTTAAGACTAAAACATAGGAATAAACTAAATGAGTATAAAATTATCCTGGATAGAAGTATTAATATTGGAGAATTGTCACTTACTCCCAAGTGAATTGACATAAATCCACATTAAATGTAAACAAAGTAATACTGGCCAAAGGGGCTCAAAGACTTGCTCTTCTAGATATGCAACATATTAGCAATAATTATAAGGCGGCAGGAAAGTGTATAACCCAGAGCTAGGCTGAGTTGCAATGCTAATTCTTCCACCTGCTGTGACCCCAGTCAAGTTATTTGCATCTTTGATCTTCATTTCTCATGGAGAGTTAATAATGGAAGAGACATCTTAAGTATTTTTAAGAATTAAATAAAACAGGATTTAAAAATATTCATAGGGGCCAGCATTGTGGTGAGGCAGGATAAGTCTCCACCATAGGAGCCAGCATCCCATTTGAGCTCCAGTTTGAATCCCAGCTACTTCATTCTTCCAAACCACCTCCCTGCGAATGTGGCTGGGAAAGCAGTGGAGGATGTCCCAAGTGCTTGGACCTCTGTCACCCACATGGGAGACCTGGATGGAGTTCCAGGATCCCCATTAAGGCTGAATGGGGAGTGAACCAGCAGGTGAAAGATCCTCTCTGTCTCTCCTTCTTTCTTTGTAACTAAGTAAATATTTAAAAATATATATTTATTGTCTCTCTCTCTCTCACTGTTTATAACTCTACCTGTGTGTTTGTATATATATATATATATATATATACACTGTTTATAACTCTACCTGTATATATATATATATATATATATATATTCACAACAGCATCTATGTAAAGTCTCAATACAATTCATTATTTTTTAATTTTATTTTTCTGGTTAGAAATGGCCTATTTCAAATGCAAAACCATAGAATGATTACATAATAGTTAATACATGCAATTCTATTGAACATTCTAGTATTTGAATTAAAGAGCCAAATAGGGCCGGCACTGTGGTATAGGGGGTAAAGCTGCCACCTGCAGTGCCAGGATTCCGTATGGATGCCAGTTCGAGTCCCAGCTGCTCCTCTTCCTATCCAGCTCTCTGCAAAGGCCTGGGAAAGCAGTAGAAGGTGACCCAAGTCCTTGGGCCCCTGCAACCACGTGGGAGACCCAGAAGAAGCTCCTGGCTCCTGGCTTCAGATCAAATCAGCTTCATACGTTACGGCCAACTGGGGAGTGAACCAGCGGATGGAAGAACTCTCTCTCTCTCTACTTCACCTTCTCTCTGTGTGTAACTCTGACTTTCAAATAAATAAATAAATCTTTAAAAAAAGAGCAAATATAAATTATAGCTAAAGTAATGTAAGTTAGCACTGGAGAATCTTCTATTTCCTAGATTCAACCTTTCTAAACAGGTTTCAATTATGATTTAAAGTTCACATGATTTTGGCATTATACCATGCCCACAACAAAAAAAATTTATAAACTCATTAGTTTTCACTGCTTCAAAAACCAATTACAGCATTTATTCACAGGGCATCATCTAGTTAGGAAGGCAGCGATGGAGGGAGTGAGGGAGCGAAGCGAGGAAGGACAGAGGGAGGGACGGAGGATGGAGGGCCGGCGGGAGTGAGGAAGTGGGGGAGGGAGGGAGGAGGCAGGGAGGGAGGGAGGGAGGGAGAGAGGGAGGGAGGAAAGAGGGAGGGACGGAGGGAAGGAGGAAGGGGGGGAGGGAGGGAGGAGGCAGGGAGGGAGGGAGGGAGGGAGGAAGGGCATACCTCTATGCTCTTAATCCCATTTTCCGTGATATCTGAAATTCTTGTGTGAACCAAAGTTGTTTTAATTTGCTTTTCAAGAGCTTGAATTTCATCCCACTTGTTCAGTATCTCACACCTCTTCCTTTCTACCTTCTGGGTCAGCGTAAGCTGCTCCTCATCAATCGCATTTTCCTCGGAGGATTCTGGAAATAGTGTTCAAAGCAGAGTATTGCAGTGTTCAACGGCAGCTTTTATTATCAACAGCATCGTGTGTCATTAATAATAGTATGTATGTTATAGCCATAAAATAAAGCTGCAAGCAGGTCAATAAAAACCATCCGAGCCAAGAACGGGGCGCTTCCTCCTTTAATTCATCCATATAATTAGCAGCCGTGGTTATTTCCTGAACTTGCATTCTGGGAAGCAAAAGGCCCTGGCACAGACGCGCTGCTGCGTGAGCACCACGGATGCTGCTGGTAGGAAGGAGAGGAGAAGCAGGTGCCGGGGAAACGTTCGTCAGAGCTGTGATCTGCGCAGAGCTAGGAGCGGCCGGAGCAGGTTCGTGTCCTTAGAGATGCTGAGAAAACGATGATGGAGCCCAGTGCTCTGTTCACAAGTGGCATTTGACTGAGTTCTCAGGAACCATCTTCACGATTACAGGGAGATACATAATACTGGGTTGATCACATCATAAACTGTTTATCTGCATTTAAGGCAATTTACTATCCATTTCACACATAGGCGCTGATAAAATGCAATTAGTTTCCCACTAAGCGGTGTGAAGAGGAAGAAGGACCAGGAAGGGTCTGTGGGAGAAATGACCACGGTGTGTTTTCATGAAAGACGGCTTAGCCTTAGTCTGGCCATGACACCGGGCCTCAGAAGCACACAGGATAGAGTTGCAAAAAGAAACCCTCAAAGTATGTCAACTGCTAAGTTTGCCTTGCAACCCCCAAACCACTTGTCTTTGTGACTTGCCGCTGTTCTGAAGTCAGCAAAGAACAGATATTAGCCTTGCTGATACCACAGTGCAACTCCCTCTTCCCTGTCCAAGACCTGCCCAGCAACACCCGCCCCCATTCCCTCTCCCACGCCCTATTGGGTTCAGGATGCACCTCCCATGCTTCTCAACCAGTGAGGGACTGGGGGAAGGGCCTCCGCATGGTAGGGCAGAAAGGAGCCCAGTGTCCAAGGGAGCTGCCTGCTTCCACCTGCTGGTCACGGCTCCCTCTACCAGGTGTCACCAAACACCTCGCTCTCTGCATCTCTCATGCTCCTGGCTCCTGGGTCCACCCTTTGGAGGGTAGGTGGTCTCAGGCAGGGTCACTTTCCACAGTCTGTGCTTTCCTTACACAGATGACCACGTGCAACCCTCACAGAGCACCTCACTGAAGGGTCGGCTTCAATAGCCTCACAAGTGGGCAGTGAGTTTGAGAAGCTCAGAGTCCCCGTGAGGAGGTGGCCACGCCCATGTGCAGTGACTGTGAGGGCCCTGGGGTCCTGGCAGCTGCCCCCAGCCCTAGCCAGCCCTGCTCTGCCAGTCACTGCAGGTGGGGCCGTGCAGGGCAGAGGCTGGGGACCTGCTGGCAGGGTGGACAGCATCCCAGATTCAGACACCACAGAGGTTCGCCGGCTTGTTCAAGCCAGAGAAATACAAAGGTTCTGAAGGCAAGAACACTCTGTCTCGGTTGCTGGTGCCCTGGAAATGACAGTGTTCCCAGCAACTGTGCCTGTACCCCCAGCCCAGATGGGTTTGCACAGCAGGGCCCACTGTTCCCTAGGAAGTCTGTTACATGTTCCAGACACTTTGTTTAGGATAAATAACTTCTGATCCCTCCACGGTTCCTTGTGGGATCTGATTCTCATACTGATATCATTTGGCCCACTTTCCTGGGTTCTGATCCAAATGTCCTGCTCCAGACGAGAGCATTCTCTACGTGAGAGAGATCTGAATCAATTCAGTGTCCTGCTGGAGCCTAAAGATCTTAGACGACAGTGAGACAGAGCACGTGTTGTATGCGGATGCAGGGACAGTAAACACCCGGATGTACCCGAAGCGATGGATCCTGGGACCTCTGAGGAGGTGGGTTATGTCCTGTGGTTCAAGCACAGGTCACAGGGTGAGGAACACTGGCCTGAATGCCCAGCACTGGGAGTGCTCAGGAGGGAGGATCTTTTCAGGACTGGGGAATTCTTGAAGAAGCATAGTGACACACCTTGGGTACAGAACCCAAATCTCAGCATGAAGTTCACGTGTGCTGTGTCCACGTTTGACGCACACCCCTGAAGGTCCTGCTACACAGCCCGCTGCACCAGGTCAGGCGTGGAAGCCCCTCTTGTGCCGTCATGTGATACACAGCACTCTGACTTTGGGCTTCCAGATTAGGGACGCACAACCCGTGTTACATGAAAACTGGGCTTCCTCCTAAAGTACTTGGTGCAGGGGAGATATTAATGGAAAAATGTAGCAGCATCCCTGAGACACTGCTGGAGGAGGCCACACGCAGAGAGGGGCAGGGGCCAGCGGTCTTCACAGAGGCCTCGGGGGCACCCAGGGGGCACACTTCCCACAAGCACTTGCCTGACTTCTTCCTAGCCGACCGCAGCAGCTCCTGCTCCACCGCTAACTCCTCTCTGAGCCTACAATAAACACCCACGGTGAGATATTACGCCCCGTTTGAACCTTTTCATCTTTTGTTTTAAGCCATTGATTAAGCTGAGAGTCAAAAACTGATCTCACTTTAAAAAAATTATTTGAAAGGCAGAGCTGCAGGGAGAGGAAAAAAGATATCTTCTATGCAGATGGCCGCAACGGCCAAGGCTGGGCCAGGCCAAAGCCAGGAGCCTGGAACCGGATCCAGGTCTCCCATGTGGGAGCAGGGACCCAAGCACTCGGGCCATCCTCCGCTGCTTTCTCGGGCACATTGGCAGGGAGCTGGATTGGAAGGGGGGCAGCCAGTGCCCTAGGCAGCGGCTTAACCCATTAGGCCACAACACCAGCCCCTGACCTCTTCGCTCTCTAACATATAAAGTAACTTGAAAATATTTGTAACTTGAGAGCCGGGTCAGTCAAGCTGAACAAACCTACCCATCAAGGCTGCATACATTGTTGTTTAAAAGAGTCGATTGATCTAAAATCGATTATTTCCAGTGTGTGTTTCTTGGTATGATTTTTGTGACCTGAATTTCCTGGAGGAAAGTAGGCAAATAAACTATCATTTAGATGCTGAGGTGAAAGGCAAACCCAGGGCCGATGCTGGGGTACACATGCATTTTCCCTGTGTGTTGTGGTTCCTCCCCACCAGTGGAATTTACAATTTACACTATGTTTGAACTAAAGATAAAATATCGAAATTTAAAAGGAAGAGGGGGGAAAAGCCCTCTAACCTCTTTGTAGCTTCATGTTTCAAACTCAATTGAATCAACTATCTTATTTCTATCAGATTTAAAGAGGAAAAAGTCTAGTAACTTTTACATACAAGGGTTCTTCAACATTTCATGGAAAATGAAATCCAAAGACAAATTCTTCCTGAAGCAGACACTTTAGAAATGCACACATCAAGGTTTCTTCATAATACAAATTTTCCTTGAAGTTTTAAAGCAGCCCTTGTAACCACACATCTCAACATTTTTGTAGCCAAATAAGCTTCTTGGAAGGTTCCATTTTCCATGGATATTCTTGAACAGCCTCATTTACCTAGGTGAGCACTGTGATTCAGGTAAAAATATCAGCCCACTCCTGTCACTTAATGCCACAAGTCTACACGGGCCTAATGGCTTGTGGTTTTCACACACGTCAGCTTATTTCGTCACACATTAAAAGACAAACACAGCAGCATCAGGGGCTCAGGGGAGTGCCTGGCCCTGCAGCTCAGACATCACTTGTTAGGTGCACACCCCACACTACTGTGCTTGGGCCAAGCCCTGCTTCTGGTCCAGACCCCAGCCTCCTGCCGATGCAGACGCTGGGAGCCAGTGCTCATGGCTCCCGTCGTCCGGCTCCTGCCACCCACGTGGGAGACCTGGCTTGAGTTTCTGGCTCCAACCTTTGTCCCCAGCCCACGGCAGGCAATGGGAAAAAAACCAGCAAATTGGAGCTCTCCTGATCTGTTGTTCTCTTTGTCTCCCTATCTTTCAAATGTTTATAATAATTTATTAAAAATATATTTGTTAAAAGATAAAACAAGATGGAAGATTAATAACAGACTTCTTAACATGTGTATTTGGGGTTAGTTTCCTGAAATGTTTCATTTTTTATAAACTTAAAATTTTTTTTTTTTTATTTTTTGACAGGCAGAGTGGACAGTGAGAGAGAGAGAGACAGAGAGAAAGGTCTTCCTTTTGCCGTTGGTTCACCCTCCAATGGCACACTGCACTGATCCGATGGCAGGAGCCAGGCGCTTCTCCTGGTCTCCCATGGGGTGCAGGGCCCAAGCACTTGGGCCATCCTCCACTGCACTCCCTGGCCATAGCAGAGAGCTGGCCTGGAAGAGGGGCAACCGGGACAGAATCCGCCGCCCTGACCGGGACTAGAACCCGGTGCGCCGGCGCCGCAAGGTGGAAGATTAGTCTAGTGAGCCGCGGCGCCGGCCTTATAAACTTAAATATTGCTTATTCTGTTGCTTATTTTTCTCCTTCAGAGACTTTAATTATGTGCAAATCAGATCTTCTTTGACTATCTTCCCATTTTTTTTTTTAACTTTTAGTTATTTATTCGAGAGGTAGAGTAGCAGACAGAGAAAGGGAGAGAGAGAGAGAGAGAGAGAGAGGTCTTCTGTCCACTGGTTCACTCCCCAAATGGCTGCCATGGCCAGAGCTGTGCAGATCCAAAGCCAGGATCCTTGAGCTTCTTCCAGGTCTCCCACATGGGTGCAGGGGCCCAAGGACCCGGGCCACCTTCTACTGCTTTCCCAGGCCACAGCAGAGAGCTGCATCGGAAGAGGAGCAACAGGAACACAAACCTGTGCCCATATGGGACGCTGACACTGCAGGCGGAGGCTTAGCCCACTGCGCCATAGCGCTGGCACTGCCTGTCTTCTGTTTAAACCATCTGTTCTTCTACTTCTTCCTCTCGTTTCCATCTCTGGGCCGTGTTCCCGACTGCCATGTCCTTTCACACAAGTCCCTGCCCGGGTGTTCTCCCGGGGGTGGGTCATCACTGTCTCCTGACTGGTGACGCGGCTCTGGCGTCCTCAGCCATCCTCCCCCCTAGTCCAGTCTGGTTGCAGTTCTTCCTTTGCTCTTGCCGATCTCTGTGCTCAGCTTTTAAATTCGGGCTCCAGATTGTGGGCCCTTGGAGAGCACTAGCTCACGGTTTGCCGTGCCCTTGCAGTCACTTCCTCTCCAGCTTATTATTATTATGCACATCGTTATTGTTAGATGCTTATTAGCGTTTGGGGGGGGGGCAGGAATACTCCCCAGCGGAGTTGGTTGGACTCTAATCCCACGGAGACTTGGAGCAGTGGCCGAGGTTCCTGGGTCGGGAGGGCGTGGTCCCGTCAGTGCAGCGTGTGGTGCTCTGCATTGTTTTCCGGGAATTCTGCGGTTGCACTGATTCGGTTGATATTACTGGGAAGCTCGCTTGCTTGCAGGGAAAACAGGACAGTGTGGGCAGCCTGTGTAGGACCTTTCACCAAATTCCGGATCCCCCTCCTCGCTTCATTCTCCCTTCACGGAGCCGTGACGAGGATGCTGGCCTCTTCTCGGAGCCTCACCGGGTCAGCACCGCTTCCGTCTTCCATGCCCCCTGTGGGCACCCTCCTGCTCCAGTACTCAATCCGTCAGCCCACCGTGGTCCTCTCACCTAGGTGGGTTCCGCACTCTCTGGCAATGCTTTTAGAACAATTCCAGGCCTTCCACGAGCTCCTCTCTCCTCCCCAAATGCTCACACGGAGGTTTGCAACAGGAATGTGGAAAAACGGCTCACTGACACTTGGTATCTGCTGTTCATTCTTTTCTGATTTACTTTATTTTTTAAATGTATTTATTTATTTATTATTCATTTATTTATGTGAAAGGCAGAATTACAGAGAGAGAGAGAGAGAGAGAGATCTCCATTGCTGCTTCACTCCCCAAATGGCTACAAAGCCAGGTCTGGGCCAGGCCAAAACCAGGAGCCTGCAATTCCAGCTGGGTCTCCCATGCGGGTGGCAGGAGCCCAGGTATTTGGGCCATCTTCCACTGCTTTCCCAGAAGCATAAGTAGAACCCTGGATAGGAAGTGGAGCAACTAGGATCCAAACCAACCATGAATCATGGGATGCCAGCCTCATTGGCCATAGTTAACCCAGTGAGCCCCAGCCCCAGCCCCTTCATTTTCAATTTATTAGAAAATTGGGGAGAGAGAGAGAGAGAGAGAGACAGACTGAGAGCTTCCAGATCATGTATCTGCTGGTTCACCCCCCAAGTGCCCAGAGCAGCTGAGGCTGGACAGTGCCACATGCCACAGCCAGGAGCCAGAACTCCATCCAGGATTTCGACAGGGCTGGCAGGGACGCAGGTACATGAGCCATCACCTGCTGTCTCCTGGGTGCACACTGACAGGAAGCTAGAGTGAGAGGTAGAGCCAGGACCGGAACCCAGGCACCACAGTGCAGGCTACAGGGGTCCCAGGCAGCGTCTCAGTCACTGGGCCCAACACGGGCCCCAGTCTCGCAGCCGGATGTGGCCATCGGTGCCTCTCACCTGTCGTTCCGCTCCATGGCTGCTCTGATGGCCTTCCCCAGCCGCCTCAGCTCCTCCCTGGCGTGGTCCACGTCCGCTGTCTGCACAGGACTCCTCTCCAGTCCTCTGATTTCAGCCAGAAAAGTCTAGGCAGGGCCAGGCACACAGGAATATGTGAGAACCTGCCTTCCCGGTGACCGCTGTGTGCGCAAAGGCTCCAGGTTGAAAGGGGATTTTAGTTAAAGCAGGCGAACTGGGAGGACTCGGGGAGGAGGGACCGTGGGGGAGGGGAGGCTACCCCAGTGAGGTTCTGGTTAAATTTCTCTTTCGCTATTTCAGGAATGTTTCTTCCTAAGAAAGGGAGTTCCAGTGTCCGTTGGTGAGGAGAAAGGACCCGGGGACTGAAGTGCCCAGGTGCACCCCAACTATTTCCTTTAAGTGAGAAATGATCTTCATTCCCACACAAAACACGTGTAGAAACACGGACCAACAAAGGTGTCAGCTTCCTGGGGTGGTGGCTGCCGGTCCGGAGGGTTTCTTGACAGATTATTTTCTGCTGTGGGATTGAGCCGTGGGCCAGAGGTCGGCCCTCCACATCCCCAGGGTGCATGGGTCAAGCTACTGCAACTCAAAAATACTCAGAAAACCTGCCTCTACGTGGAACATGCACAGACATGCTTCCTGTCATTATTTCCTAAACAGGGAAGTATAATGTCAAATTATGTAGCATTTTTATGGGATTTGGCGTTTTAAGTAACTTAGGGATGATCAGAGATGGTTTTAAGTGTCTGGGAGGATGCACACAGGCGATTTGCAAACACTACAAAATCTATACGAGAGACGAGCATCGGCAGATTTCGGTTTCCAGCTTCCAACAATATCGAGAAAGTTCATGAAAAATGTGTTTTATTTAAAAAAAGTTACGGATTTCAGATTGCACTGCACAAAACTAAAGCTCTTTAATTCCAGGTTTTCATTAGCTTCTTTAGAACCCTCATACGTTCTTTTAGGCTCAACCTCAAGCATAAGGAACAGGGCAGATCCCCAGCCGTAGCCTTTACATCTGGAAAAACAAACAAACGTCTGCACCAGCGAAGGCTCCAGACAGATGACGTTGGAGAGGGGCCGGGCAGCAGCGACCTCACTGCAGGGCTTGGGTTCTCGACACACACAAAGTAACTCGGACGTACAAGACCGGATTCTTAAACTACTGAGTGCACAGTAGGAAGCCGCCTTAGCTCCAGTGTGAGATTATTTCGGTTTCTGTAAGTGTAAGGGCATGCCTGTAGTGTCTGTTCCAATCACATGCCTGGCCCTGGAGGGAAGACCTGGGCAGGTGGCACCAGTTAAACACAGGGACGGCAGCCACCTTGATGCACGCGCCATGGGGCAGTGCTTCTGGTAATTGCTAACAGCACTGCTTCCATGCCAAGCTGTCCGTGTGTGTGGAGTGGCTCCATTGGTTTGGAAATGTACACAGTGCTGAGTCCCTTCTCACTAACATCCTAACAGTGGTCCACAGACCCTCTCTAGTGAAAACATCAGCATCTCACGTTGTGGAGGCGCAAATGGGGCTTCCTGGATTCAGAATCTTTCCACGGTTCAGGAAATGCGATGTGGAGCACACCTCGGCTCTACTGGAACACCCGGTCGTGGGTTGTTACCTTATGCTGTGCTGTGGGCTGGGAGTCCAGGAGTATTGCCATGTACAGCTCGTACTCCTCCTAGACACAAACAGAGTCCAATGCAGCCACGTTAGGAGGGACTGCCGCTTGTGCAAGTACAGAGAGGTTAGGGACAGCCACTTAGAACACTTCAGAAAAGGATCTAAGAGCTGCTACAATTCATCAAGCATTACACACACTCAGATGTGTGAAAGCTCACTGTCCTTGGAGCATGGCAGAGGATTACTGCCCGCCTCAGCTGTGATTTTAAAACGACCTTGACACACATACAGCAGGGGCATCCCTGTCGCACACATGGATGCTACATGGATTTGGGCCCCACTGACTGCAGGAGCTTCCCAGGGATGAGGGCGTCTCGGGAGAAAGGGCCATGGTGGCACCGCGGGTCAGCACGGCTTGTGGTTAGGGAAGCAGAAAAGCAGGCTCTGTAAAGCAAGCTGATCTCAACCCAGATCTCTAGGACGGTCCCCTTATCCCACCATCACAGCAAACCTGCCACTCCATAGAGAGCCACATGGAAAGGGGAGGTGTAACTATAAAAGGACAAACGTCACATACACATCATCTGTAAAAGCCTACGTATTCAGCTTCTGGGGTGGGCCAGCTGGGCGTTCACTGCACGTGGCCCTTTGCCAGCTGGGGGGACTGTGGGCCCCTGTGAGTGACAACCCAACCCAGGAACAGGCAGGAGATCCCTGGCAGGCTTTCTGTTGCTCTACGGGAAATGCACATCTCCAGTACCTTCACTTCCTTCAGGAGGTCCCCGAATATCAGAGAACTGTTGCACACGTCTTCAAAGACTTCCCCGAAGACCTGCAGCCTGTTGAGCTGCAGGGGGTTGCAGGTGCACACCTTCTGGAGCTCCTGCGGGGAAACAGCAGCAGCCCACTGCAGGCCACCTGCCTGGGCCTTCAGGGCAGAGGCTGTTGGGATGAGATCAGAACGGCCCAGGCCAGACGCAGAGGCGTGGTCTGCACAGGGCCCGTAGCAAACCCAGTGCCTTCCTCAGGCGCCCAGGAGTATGGCCATGTACAGTTCATACTCCTCCTAGACAGGTGCCCTGTCTTGTCACCTGAGGGGTTGTTCTGTGCCAGCTCCCAGCATCACACACTCAGGTTCACCCTCTGCCTCCACAGCACCCCAAGGCCCTTTCACTTATCCTGCAGTTCCCAGAGTCCAAACCCTCAAGATCTGGTTATTTCACACCGGGCGCGTCACAAAGGCCTTGGGAGAGGGAGTGAAGTTCATTGTCACACAGACTTGAAATCCACGTGTCTCGCACCTTAGGGTGGAGACTGCTGTTTGCTCTTCTTCCTGCACATGGCCCCGGGGTGTGACACCTGTGGTCAGCACACGGCAGGCGCCCTCGCTCCCGGTCACGCTGTGCGTGCATCTCCCGGGGGGCACGTGAGTTTCCCAGGCAGACGCTGCCTGCCACACACCACCTGCTGATCCCGCCCTGCCACGGGGAGGCAGCCAGCGCCACTCACACCTCTGCTGCCCCGCTCTGGCTGCCTCTTCGCTGGCATCCAGGGTAGCGAACTGCACACTTGCCTCCCACTTACCTGTGTCCTCTGTCCTGTCACCCCGTCACCGCCTGTGGATCAGGTCCCAGACTCTCAGCCAGGGGCAGCCGTGTTGCATTCTTGCTGGAAACGTGGTCACCATGCCTGCCCCTGAAAGCCCAGCTCCTGAACCCGGCCCCTGCAGGGAGAGCGCCAGCGACCACGCCAGGTGTCCCTACCTCTGCCAACTTCTTCTCGTGGCACAGGGCCGCCTTGTGCGTGCTGAACTCGTTCCTCGGGAGATCCTCCTTTACAAGCACCTCTCTCTGGAAGCTCAGGAACTTTCTGTACCTGTCTGCTTTCGTGATGCCCGCCAGATAGGAGCTCACGTACTGGTACCGGTCCTTGGCGGGCGGCCCCAGGACGCACCGACGGCTGGACTCGGCCGCCCGGTACCGCAGCACCTTCACGTCCAGCAGCTGCAGCTCCTCTCTCGGGTGCCCTGCGGCCTCCTCCTGCCCTCTTGGAGCCTTCGCTGGAGTGAGGCTCTCTTCTGAGGTGCAGACGGTCTGTGCTGGTGGGTTCAGATACCTGAACAGCTGCGCATCCTGGACGTCGGCGGGAACCAGAGCCGTGTGGAGGGTGAAATAGGCCCAGGCGTCCTTCATCTCCTGGGTCTGCCCTTCGGACAGCCACTGGGCTCCCGGTGCCATCTCCTGCCTGGGCCTGTTGGCGTTGGCCCAGTGCTGCAGGATGGTCTCGGGAGGCCTGTAGAGCTTGTTGGGGTTCAGGTGCCCAGACGTGTACTGGCAGATATCCTCCTTGTGCGCCCTCTGGATGCCATTCAGAAGCTTGGACAGGTTGCACAGGGTCCTGACCCCCGGCGTCTCACAGTGCTTCCACTTAAGGTCAACTGTTCAGGGAAGAGGGCCAGGCTGAGGAGCCCCACGGCCAGCTCCACAGCCAGCTGCTCTGTGAGTTTCCAGAGCCGGCCTGCCTCACACCCAACAGAGGGCGCAGCAGACCGGGAAAGGCAGGCACAGGGAACGGCCCGGCCGGGTCTGAGGTGTGGCTGCAATGAGGGGGGCAAAGGGTGCACGTGACAGAGGAGCCCGCACAGCCTAAGACCTGAGAAGCCAGGCGGGAGGGCGCAGTGAGTGCTCCTTACAGTATTAGCAAGAGTTCTGGACGAAAAGCCCAAAAAATATAACCATAATTGTTTCATTTTTAAAAACCAAATATTTCTAACTAATTTGAAAGGCAGAAAGAGAAAAAGAGGGGCTCAGGAAGAGACGGAAATCTTCCACTCCCTGATCGCTCCCCACATGTTTGCAATACCGGGAGCCTAGACTTCCATCTGGGTCTCCCACGTGGGAGACAGAGACCTCAGTACTTGAGCCTGTGCTTCCTTGGGTGCACACAGGCAGGGAACAGAAACAAGGAAAGGAGCCAGACCGGGAATCAGGTTCTCTGATACGGGATGCAGGCGACCCAGGCGGAGCGGTAGCCACCACACCACACCCATACGGTGACGCTTGAGGACCATTGTCTTAAGATCTGCCACGTGACACGCCAAGGAGTAAACGCCGGGCTTTTCCCCTTAATCCTAAAATGTCTTAGGAGGCCTTGAGCTAGCCCCCAGTCACCCGGGGTCACTACCCCTCCCTGTGCTGTCCCCACAGTGCGAATGCCATGGGAGTGTGGACAGGGCCTCGGCCAGTCAGGTGCCCGGGGAGGCCTAGGACGTAACACCTGGGAGAACCTCGGCTTCTGCATCAGCCCCTTGCTGCGAGGGCCCGGGGCCACCCCGTCATCACTCTCATCCTCACTGCCATCTTCTGCAAGGCAGGACAGGTGTCTCACAAACGGCACACGCACCCCCGAGGGCACCTCTGTTGGCACAGAAACACATGATGGAGGCCCTGCAGCTGCACCCAGCTGGGGCGAAGTCTCCAGGGGCCCTTGCTAAGCACGCCCGATGGGTCTCACTCGGCCCTGTTGCAATGTGCTGTTTCCAAGGGGAGGAGAGGGAACTTCTGTCGGGGACACTGTGTGCTGTGCGGCTGCAGCCTCTGAGCAGCTGGCTGGAGGCCTGTGCTCCCTGGAGCCCCTGGAGGAGCAAGCGAGCGGATGTCCATCTGCCCGGCTAGGCTGAGGCCTCCCTGGGGCCAACAGAGCCGTGAGCAGCTCTGGCTGCAGGGTGGAGGAGCCAGACCCCTATTCCCCCCAACCCCCAGCCTCCAGGGCTGCCTCGGCCTGCACACCCAGGCACGTCTTCAGGTCCATAGCTGTCACTGCTGTGAGTCCCCACACAAGCCCGTCTGTCCCCATTCTCATCCCCAGTTGTGAGAGGAAGGCTGGGGGACCTTGTTTACAGGGGTCAGGACCCCACCCCTGCCAAGAGCAGACGTGGTCTCTGAACGCAGCCCGCTTACCCTGACAGCTACATTTGCCCCAGACCCGCTGGGACCCAGGCCACGTCCAGGTCCACGTCCAGTTCAGTCTCTGGCCATAGCAGCCACCGTCACGTCACATGGTATCCAGGTCTATTGTCACCAAGTAGAGGAAAAGGGGCCCTGAGAGAATGAGGGGTTCTGATCCCTGCTCGTGGTCCCCAGAAACCCCCCAGCGGGAAGAATCCTAAAGTTGTGTTTATGAAATGCATGACGTTTGTATGAGGGAGAAAAAGAAGAAACGAAACCACCCCCGACCCACCGCCTCCTCACAGGAGCTCCTGGGCCCCCAGGTGGCCATCGGCCAGGGGGCCAGGTGGAGGCCTCTGCTCGGGGCTGCATTCCCAGGGGCTCCCGGGAAGTCACCCCAGGCCGGTTCCCGAGGCTGTCAGAATCCAGTCACCGTGGCTGCAGGACACACACTCACAACATACTCTCACACACACAATCTCTCATGTACACACTGTCTCTCTCACACACAGTCTCATGCACACACTGTCACACACACACCCTGACACTCTCACAGATCACTTTCTCACACACACACACACATACTCTCTCATGCACACACTCTCACACACCATGTCTCATGCACACACAGTCACACACATACCCTGACACACACTCTCACACATTTGCTTTCTCTCACACACACATACTCTCTCATGCACACACTCTCACACACCATGTCTCATGCACACACAGTCACACACATACCCTGACACACACTCTCACACATTTGCTTTCTCTCACACACACATACTCTCTCATGCACACACTCTCACACACCATGTCTCATGCACACACAGTCACACACATACCCTGACACACACTCTCACACATTTGCTTTCTCTCTCTCACACACTGACATGCTCTCTCATGCACACACTCTCACACACTATGTCTCATGCACACACAGTCACACACATACCCTGACACACACTCTCACACATTCGCTTTCTCTCACACACACACTCACACACTCTGTCACGCACACATTCTGCCATATACAAACATACACTATCAAACACACACTCACACACACACATACACACACTCACACATTAGCTTTCTCACACACTATCTCATGTACACACTGTCTCTCTCACACTCACACACACTTTCACACACACTCATACACTGTCTCTCACACATATACTCTGTCCCACACACACACTCACATAGTCTTATGCACACACTGTCTCTCACAATACTGTCTCTCACACACACTCACTTTCACGCATACACAGTCTCTCACACATACACTCACACAAGTCTCATGCACACACTGTCACACACACACACTCTGTCTTTCTCTCACACACACACACTCTCACACAGACCCCCCACACTCCCCCTGTACTCCCCCTGAGATTCCTCCCTTCCCCGCCCCGCAAGCGGAGCCTCCAGTACAACCCCCACCCCAGGACCCTGGGCCATCTTAGAAGGAAGGAGGCCTCCAGGACTAAGTTTGCGACCTGGGCCCTGGCCTCGGGACCCCCAGCCTGGCCGGTGCCCACTTACACCTGGGCCCTGGGTCCTCAGCCTAGCTGGCGCCCACTCACACTCGGACCCCAGGTCCCCAGCCTGGCCAGCGCAGACTTTTACACTCGGGCTCCTGACCAGCACCCACTTACACCCGAGCCCCGCGGCCACAGCCTGGCCTGCGCCCACTTACACTCGGGCTCTGGGCCTCCAGCCTGGCCGGCGCCCACTTAAACTCGGGCCCCGGGCCCCCAGCCTGGCCGGCGCCCACTTACACTCGGGCCCCGGGCCCCCAGCCTGGCCGGCACCCACTTACACTCGGGCCCCAGACCCCCAGCCTAGCCGGTGCCCACTTACACCCGAGCCCCGGGTCCCCAGCCTGGCCGGCGCCCACTTACACTCGGGCTCCGGGTCCTTGGCCATGGTCCCACTGCTGCCGGAGCGCTGGCCGCGGTCGCGTCGCCATGGAGACGTCAACAGCCGGCTCGGCCCGCGCTCTGCTGCCCACCGCAGACCCTCTCCTAGCGGGAGCGCCGGGCGGGCGTTTGCCGGCTTCTTTTACTCTGCAAGAAGAAACGATCTGTGATTTGGGGAGCGTCCAGATATCTTCATGCTCCCGAATTCCTCTCCAAGCTTCCAGAGAAGAACGGAACCGGCGTTGCGCGCGCGTCTTTGTAAGAGAAGCAGATTGCACAGTGCACAACGCACCCGACCCTCCCTGGGAGTTGCGCGCAGGGCAGGGCCCGCTGCTCAGTGGTCGTTCAGCCTCTTCAGTCTCACTATCCATGTGCCCCCAGGAGGTGCAGACTCGCCCAGGATCAGTCAGCAGGGAGCAGAACCCAAATGCACATTTTTTGCCTCTCCCAGGTATGCGGGAGGGGAAAAGCAAAATCCTCCCTCCTCTTTGAAAAGTGAGATTCTGGTTAAACTCCTGCATCCAGAAAGGACTGGAGCCGACCCTGCTCGCTCTCAGAGGTCCTGTGGAGACTGGAGACGCGTGGCTCTCAGATGAGCAAGGCCAGGATGCCTGGGCCGGGCTGTGAGGGTGGCAGCGGGTGGGGCTCAGCAGGATTGGGGGTGTAGAAGACTGTCGGCTTGTGTTTCCAGAAATGCCAGCCAGGTGCTTTAACGATGGGGGCCGTGAAGCTGTCCTGCCCCCAGCTCTGTAACTTCAGGTGCATTTGAGTTGAACCTGTGAGCAGGTGACCAAAGGCATCGACTGACCACTCTGTGACGGCCGTAGTACTGATGACCAGAGATGCTGGCGGGGACATGCCCGGGCTGCAGAGGGACGCGCCTCCTGCCATGGGCTTCTGTCGCGTTCCCCGGCGCTCACCGCAGATGAAGAAGAGAGCCCAGACGTGCCTGCTAGTGGATGAAACGTCTGCTGTGTGGATTCTGCTGACAGGGGACCAGCACGTTTCTCCACCCTCTCCCACAGATGGGCACCGGGGACCGGGCGCTCCTTAGCGTCTGCAGAGACAGTCGTGAGGCCCCGGACCAGCCTGCTGCCCTCCCTCGGGATGGAGCTCACTCGTTGCACAGGGAATTGCAGAGTCTTGGTTTAGCTCAGACATAAATAGCTTGCTTTCAGCACACAGATAACCGACATCAGTGAGTCCACCCCTTCTCCACACATTGAAGTCAGTGATCAAATTGGTTACAGGGCTCAGAACTCACCTGATGCTCTCCTCTTGCTAAATATCCCACCGAGCGTGTCTGGGCAGGAAGTCTTCGACGGCCACAGTGTCCATGCGGTGGACTTCCCTGCCAGACACACGCTGGGCCTTAATCCAGGCCGGCTGTGTAGGAGTCAGCAAGAGCGGCTCCCCACCCAGGTGCCATTCTGTCTGTGCCCCCTAGAGGGCGCCTGGAGACACCGTGAAACCCTTGAGGCCCCACCTGAGACTTACTTCTCTGTGCCCAGAGTCCTTAGCCAGGGTCCTTACATCCTACCCCCTGCTGGGGTGGGGGGAGGGCCGGGAACACTGGCTGCTCCTGTGGCCCCACTAAGAATGCAGAATCACACAACCTATGACTTCAACTGAAGATGTGCCGTGAGCAGGGGGCGCTGCAGAGGTCATGCACGGTGTGAGGCGGGTAGCAGTGGAAAAGGGGCACAGGACACCAATCCGGGAGGCTGGAGGGACCCCATCTGTGACGGCCGAGCGGGAGCTCCGTACCTGGGAAGGAGAGCCTGGGTGCTGGTCAGGACCAGCAGGTGCAGGCCAGGTGAGCTGTCCAGAAAGGAATGTGTCCAGTCCCGGCTTGCTCAGCTGGGAGGACTGTGCCCAGGGGAACACTTCACACACTCAGCAGGGTTTCCTGTGCCCTGGGGGAATGCAGGGCTATGCTTCCAAAAGTTCAGACGGTGTGAAAATCAACAGCAGCCTGGCGGGGAAAGCGGAGTGGGGGGTGGGGGCTGGGGCAGGGGGGCAGAGAGGGAGAGGGGCAGAGAGACAGGAGAGACAGATCTTTCATCTACTGTTTCACTCCCCAAATGCCCACAACAGCCAGGGCTGGGCCAGGCTGATGCCAGAGCCCCAAGCTCCATCTGGACCCCCCACAGCGGTGGTGGCCCCCCAGGATGTGTGCGGGACGCTGGCTGGGAAGCAGACCATTCCAAGTGTAAGTTCTTTATGACAAGCATGAAGAGCCCTGCACAAGAGCTGGAATGCCATGCACTTGCTATATGTCAGGTTTTTAATGAGGCCCTGGCTTTGGAGTAGCTGTGTGGAGTTCCATCGGCTGCGTTGCGACTTCTTTCATCGCGGACAATTGCAGACAGCTGTGCTGCTCTCATCCCTTGGCTCCCATGGCTTGTGGTTGGGTCATTTCCCACCTGAATCCATGGATACGTATGGAGGTGAGTTCCTGGACCAGACTCCCTGGGTAGGGGAGTTATTGCCAGAGCTGCTAAACCTCACCCCCTGTCCTGCAGAGGGATTTCCCCAATTTCCACCAGCCCAGGAGAAAGGAGAATGGCCAGTTCCCCACCTGTCCACCACCAAACAGTGCAGGGGACAGAATGCCACGGTGCCCTGGCCACAGAGAGGGGGATGTGCAATTTCACCGTCAAGACCTCCAAGAACAACCACGGAGCCGCAGTGGTCAGTCTTCTGTTTCAGGAAGCGTGGCCAGAGAAGGCCTTTCTATGTGGCCACTGCTACAGAGTCAGAGGCTTGAAAGAAGACAAATGTATTTGCAACCGACCCTGCAGGTCAGAAGTCTGACATGGATCTCGCAGGGCAAAACCGAGGTGTGAGCAGGGCCGGCCCCTCCCGCGGGCTCCTCTGCAGCTCCTGGAGGCAGCTTCATCCTGGGCCTGGCCTGGGCGCCTCCCTGGGCAAGGCCAGGGCGCACTGGTCCTCACATCACACACTCCCCTCTGCCTTCCCTTCCCGCATCAGGGCTCTTGTGATGGCCCTGGCCTGGGCAGTGCTGATTGGCGACCATCCCCCACCGGAGGCCTTAGCTCCCCTGTGCCAGGTCTCCAGTTATGGTGTGGAGTTTTTTGGGATCCATGATTGCCAACCACATCTCCCAGAGCAGGGCTTGTAGAGCCCAGGGAAGAGGATTCCGGCACGAGGAGTGACAACAGGAAGGCACAGGGGCCACGCTGGAGGCTGCGGTGCAGAGAGCTCGCCCGGACTCAGCTCTTCAGGGACACGGCAGGCCCCCGGTGGCCAGGGGAAGGGGGAACTGTCTACAGGATGCTGGGTTTCGTGGAAGGTTGGTGGGTTTCAGTTGTTGGATTCATTTATGATTGGAAAGCTTAGAGCCTGCTTACGGAATGGGGTCGGCCAGCAGGAAATACTGCCAAGCAAAGCAAAATGGGGCGCAGGATTCCAGGGCTGAGGACCCCAACTGGGCCCTGTCACCTGCTCCAGAGGATGCCCTGGGCACAAGAGGGAGAAAGAAATCCACTCCTCCTGGAGAACCAAACCAAAGCAGAGGGTGGCCCCGGTCAGTTCATCCTGATGGTCACATCATTCCTGGAAGCAGGAGGAGCCAGCCACGAGGCTGTGCCCTGGGAGGAGGCAGGGCAGTGCCCTGAGGCACAGGAACCTTCCCAGCCCGGCTTTTCCAAGAGCGATGCCCTGGGATCTCCCACAGGAGCGGGATTCACAGAATGAGGCATGGGCGGTACCCATGGGACCACAGCGCCAGCACAGGAGCCGGCCGTCACTTGGCTACAGAAAGTCGGTAATCTGTGGGAGAGCGAGACGTCCTCTCCACCAACTGCCTTGACAAATACTTGGGGTTATGAGTTGTTTGTTGTTCCTGAACCTCGATTACTGTTGCTGGCGCTGTCACAGGGAACGCACATTGGCTCGTTAAAAGAATGTATAATGGGAAGCTGAGCTTCTAAATGTGAAAGCAAGGAGTGACTTTAACCGCAGAGGGCAGTTTTCACTCTTTCTGGCTTTTGAGAATGATGCTCGGAGGTCATGAGTTTTTATTCCAAAAATACTTTCACATTCAGTGTGCATCTCCTAAAATACATTTTCCTCCGTGAACACAGAGCATGTACCCAAGAAAATCAACTCCCTGCCATCTGCTAACACCTGGCGGATTCATTCCCCAAGGCCACAGAGCATCCAACCGTCTTTCCCAGCAAGACTCCATACACAGTTTTTGCTTCTTCCTTTACAGCTTTACTGATATATAATTTATCGATACATAATTCACACAGAACTCACCCACATGAAGTGCTCAGTGCACCAGTTGTCAGTCCAGTCAGCCAGTCTGTTTTGTCTAAGGCAATCACACGCTCCTATTTTGTCAACGACACTAACAATTTGAAAAGACCTGGCTGGTGGTCTTACACACAGTCCATGTTTGGAACTCATCTGATTGTCACCTCCTGTGGTGGGGGTGAACGGGTCCACCTGTCCTTGTGTTTTCCACCAGTAGAGTGGAAGTCTGGTAAGGCTCAACTGATTATGTTTCGGTCGAACAGTTTGGTCCCACTTCCCGCGGTGAGTAAGATCAGATCGGCTCACAAGGCGTGGTGGCGCCACACCCTGCAGTTGTCACAGTAAGCAGCCCCCTTTGCAATTAGCAAGAGCACTCAGGAAGCTGTGAAATTCTCCAGTTCCCACGAGCCTGTCTGGGTGCCTCCTGCCCGAGTCCCTCAGGTTCGGGAGGTCAAGGTTGGCGATTTTTCCACGCAGATGACTCCCATCGCCTTCACACTGACTCCGTCTGCGAAACGGCCCTCCCGCGTCATCCACACTCCCAGTGAAAAGTATTTTATTCTATTCCTTTCATTGCCACTGTTTCAGTGAGGATTAGTGTAGTACTCACCTCCAACCCTGCCTAACGAATTGATCTTTCTATTTTTAGTGTAGTTATGGATTTGTGGGATTTTTGTATTTATTCAGGGTAATATCAATTACAGTCATTCAGTTTCATTGGGAAGTATTTAACATGCCATAAAATCCACTGTTTTGGAAGTGGCTACACCTTTGCCATCACTGCCCGTTATCTCTTCCAGGCCTCGGGCGGGGGCCGTCTCTGTGATGCACCCCTTCTGATGGCTCGCACGAGTGGAGTCGTGCAGTATGTGGTCTTTGTGACTGGCTCCCTCCTCTTAACATGAT